GAGGTCTGTCCTTCACACCAGGGCACTCTGCTTTACCCCAAAGATAAACGTACAGGAAAAGAGAATGAAACTGGAATTTATTATTTTCCTTTATGGAAACGAATACCCAAAGCCTGAGCCGGGACTACGTACTAATTCAATCACGCTCCACCTTACACCACGGGGACCAGCCCGACACGACCGCACACCAGGGATGTCCTGGGTCCCAGGAAGGCCGCCGGCCACCGGCCGCGCTGAGCTTCCAAGCTCTGTCTACGAACCAAAGTTGTTTCACCGGGCTGTGAGGTTCCCCCTCAGCGGCGGGCTAGTTCAGTTACCCAAATAGGAATCGACGCAGGGGACCACATGCAGGCTTTGATCAGACTCGCAAAATCCGCCGCCGGGGAGCTCTGCCGCTCGTGATGCCATCCCGGCCCTGTGTTTCCCCCACCTGCTCGCTCTCACTTGTTGGCCGAGGCTCCTGATGCTGGGCACTGTGCTGCACACGGAAGCTTCGGGGCTGCCTTGCAGGCGGCCCAGGCCAGCAGGGGGATGGGCAAGATGCTGCAGCAGAAAAGCCCCTCAGACGCCGAGGCCCCGTGGACAGATATCACTGTTTGCACCTTCTCTCCCTGCCTGCGAGTGACTCTCCCCACCAGTAAAGGCTCTGCTCCATGGCCACTACTTCTGCCCTCTGCAGGCCCTGCCCTGGCTCCCAGGGTGTCCAGCTAGCCCCCCAAGGGTCACTCTGTTGATGGGCTGTGCTCATCTGGGCTTGAGCCCCTCTCCCGGCCGACTGGGAACCTCCCCAGTCCCTCCCCAGGCCCTCTACACACCTGGCCTGCAGAAGTGGGCCTGTGAGTTGCTGTCCCTGCTGCCCCCATGTGTGACAGAGCGTCACTAGGCGGGTCCTCTGGATTGTGAGCTCCAGGAGCAGAGCCGAGTCCTTGCCTGGCACAAGCCCTTCCCAGTGAGAAGTCGCTCAGGTCTGGGTTCAATTCCCAACAGGCAGGACTTTCCTAACTGCAGGAGCCACGTGGACACGGCTTCATCAACCAAAACCACAAGCGGAGGGCAGGAGGCCGGGGCTCAGTACAGCCCTCCTGCGAAAAACCCAGTTATGACTTCATTTCATAAATCACACTTCCTATTTCTCCGTGGCCAGGCTGGGTCATTTCTCTGCAAGACAGAGTGACGAGTGGTGTGGGGCAGTGACAAGTGGCTCTGGCCGAGGGCTGCGTGCTGGACCAACTTTCTCACTGACCTTGTCCAAGTGAGGAAATGGAACAAGAATGGCTTTGTAGATGGTAACAGCAGGCAAACATGAGTCATGGGCAACTTAGAATTTTCTTTTCTGAGATATGACACCCGTTTCGGTTCCAACATCACATATTAGGCACTCCCACTGGGCTACTACTGTTGGGGACACAGGTGAGTTAAAATCCGAGTCTCACTTTGGGGGCACAAAGCCTGGGGGGCAGATGACAAAGTAACAGGGGAAAGTGCACAGTGGGCTCAGCAAGGCCCAGCAGTGCCTGTGGGTTCCAGAGGGTTCTAGCCAGAAGGAACGGCTTCTGACAAGGAGCTTGGACAGCCTCCCGGCCCTGGGTGACATCCATGTGGGGTTCTAGAGGCTGAAAAGGGATCCACCAGGTATCTAAAGGGTGGGGAAAGTTCTAGAAGGTACAGCACAGGCAAAGACACAAAGAGGTGGAACACTGTGGCACTGTTCAGCATTCCTGATCCAGACACTTCCTCTGAGCATCCTGTTCCCTCCAACACTTATGGAAGGGAAGGGGCTGTGCTTGACTCAAGGTGAGTTTCACCGCATCGGCCCCCTGGGGGCAGTGGCACAGGAATGGGCTGCGTCACTAACCACGGTTCCTGGGGTCTTAGGAATTGTCCAGAGAGCCCCCTCCCTGTCCTGCTGGGAGCTAGGGATCTACAGGCTTGTGAAAGTCCCCAAAATACCCTTTCCCAAATTTGAAGGAGATTCGATTGTCCCTCTGACCTTTCTCCTGAAGGATGAACAACCCGATTTTTGGCCATCTTGGGTAAAAGTGAAGGCAACGCAGCTGATCCCTCTCTGTGTGGGAAGGGTGCTGCTTGCCCAGGGCCCTCTAAAGGATGCATTTCCCTGTAGGCTTTGGCCAGCCATCCCTCATTATCTGCTCCACTTATATGACTCAGGCTCAATCAGAGCCCACTAGGTGGAAAACCACAGCCATTCACAATTCACAGGAGGGGGGCCCTGCCCTAAAGTGGGAGTGGGAATAGATTCCCCAAACTCGGGCATGGGGGATGCTGGAAGCTTCCCTAGAGAGGGTGTGTATCATTAAGGCCGGGGGTGGGGGGCGGGTGGAGTTGCAAAGGGATCTCAGCAGTGGGAAGAAACAGGTTCCTCCTCTTACAGCAAGAACTGGAGTGACCTGGGGGATCATGGTCTGTGCCTTCTGGGGACAGCGGGGGTGGCTTCCACCCATCCTGAGCCCCCAGCGTCCCAGGAAGGGCCCTGGTATGGCTGCAGCCTAAAGGTAAGAGACATACCAGGGACTCAGGTTCCTGAGACTGGGGGCTTTGCCCTGGTGGATACAAGGCCACCCAGTCCGTGTGCTGACTGCAGAGGGGAGGGGGTCTTTGCCCCCCTTGGGGGTCTCAGCCTCACTGCGTCTGAGAGTGTAGGGGCCAGCACTCCCCCACTGAGCCACACAGACCTGGCCTTGCATCTTGGCTCAGATACCTACCAGCTGGGTGACCCTGGGCAGCTCAGGTGACTTCTCTGAGCCTCAGTTTCCACTTTGCACTAACAATACCTAATGGTATTAATGAGGTTGTAGCAAGGGGTGAGTGGTCTTGGGTGTGAATGTGCATGGCTTCGTTAGTTACAGATCCCTGGTCCAACCCCTTCCTTGTAACAGGGGTGGAGGCCAAGGCCTGGCCAGGGGTGGGGATGCTTTGTCCGGGGGGCCTCTGCACACAGTGGGAGTTGAGACATTTGGTGTGTGACAACCGCGTACGTGAACTACCCATCCAGAACTGACTCGGTTCCTGCCAGGCGAGGAGCGGCATCAGGAAGGGTCCCCAGGAGAAATGCGGGGCCTCCGCCCCAGTCCGGGCTCTGAGCACAGCCTGCTGGGGCCAGCCCCTCACTTCTGGGTGTGCCGCCTCCCCCCACCCAGTGGAGGTAGGTGGCAGGGGCCCTCTCATCAGGTTCAGGCCAGCAGGGGGGCGGAGCCCAGCCCAGGGTGCAGCTCCCCGGCACTTGGGTCGACTTTCTGGGTACTGGAACCGCACACAGGCTTTTGTAAGGGGCTTGCTTCCCATCAAACAATTCATTATGCACTTAGATGGTACACGGTTTTTATGGCTTCCTAACACAGAGGAGCCTCTGATGCCCGATAAAAGATTTCTGCTAAAAACACCAGCTGAGAAGCTCATTATCTGGGAAAAGCCGAAACTGCTTACTCAAGACAAAGCGGCTTCCGTGTCAGCGGGGGGGGGCAGTGCCAAGGAAGCAGGGAAGCCACAGGCAGGTGATGGCTTCCGGGCTGGGTGGGGAAACACAAGTGCGTCATTCTGTCATCAAGCGCTTCCTATCTGGGCCTGTCACCCGAAGGAGGGCAGTGACCCAGACCCCGAAAGTCTGGGGGCTGTAAGGAGGCCGGCTGGCCCGAGCGAGCAGGGGAACACAGGACGACGCAAGTACAAACCAAGGACGGGACCGACTCGCAGGGCAGCCTCTCAGCGGGCACGCCCCAGATGCACCCCCAGATGCACCCCTGAGGGCCGTGGACAAAGGTCTGCGCTGGCTGAGCGCAGGGAGCCGAGCACTTGCAGATGGTGCGTCCCAGCAGCCTGGGAAGAGGGTGCACCTCCTCAGCCACAGGTCCCAGGGTACGGATTCCTCAGGCTTCCTCCTGCACCGGGGTGGTCCAGTGGCGGGGCAGGGGAGGGCTGTGTGGGGGGGTGTGGGGGTGTGCGGGTGGTCTACTCTGCCCACAGGGACTGCCCACAGTCCCAGTGAATCAGGCTTGGGGCAAGTCTCTGTGGCCACAATTTCACCCAGGGGTCTTGGCCCGCCGTGGGCTCCAGCCTGCACCTTCCCACCCTGTTCTCGGCCTACAGCCTAGTCCCGACTCCTGGCCCTGCTCTCGTTGGATCCCCTTGATTTGGGGGCTGGGCACCGGCACTACCCATTGTCTCTGACCAGCCTGATGGCCTGCCTGAGCCACCTTCTCTGGACGTGGGCCGCCTCCTCTGAGGTGGCCTCCATTTCCCCACACCTCCCCTCTCTGGTCTCCTTGCTCCCGGTGTGCCCCTCCTGGGGGCTGTCCGTGGCAGGAGGCTGCAGGAGTCAGACCTGTGGCTGCAGGGTGGAGGCCAAGAAGAGCATACACATCTGGGGAGGTGGGGGACTGAGGAAGAAGGGCCCAGAAGCACAGCTGAGCATTATATTCTCTGCCACCATGGAGAGGCCCTCCCAGCTCCCAGTCACAGCAATGTGGCTTCCAGAACTCTGTGGAATGTGGCGACCCCCAAGGCTGTGCCTCTCAGTTTACGGACTGTGGCTACTCATCTGGCTACTGTCAGGTCGGCATGACCCGTGGCAGGCTCATCTGCAAGCTCTTCTGGCTAGGGGAACCCACAAAGCCAGGCTTCCAGCTGCATACCTGCCGCTGTGCTTGCTGGGCCCTGAGCCTGCTGCTTCTGGGCGGCATTCTGCGGGGAAAGAGCAGGAGCGGCTGCTGCGCACCAGCATGGCAGCCTTGTCCCTACTGTGTGGGCAGCTTGGGGCCCTGGCCCTCCTTGGCTGGGCCCGAGCCAGCTGCCAGCCTCCATCAGGATTGCGCGCCCCACTCCGGTTCCCACCAGACAACTGCAAAGAGGGCAGGAGGCTTTGGGAAATGACCTGAAGCCACCAAGAAATGGAGCCCTGGTTTGTCAAGCACCCTGGCCACCACCTACTCGGGGACCGTGGTGCCGGTGACGGAGAGCCCTGTGCCAAGTGGGTGGGCACTCACATTGATCATAGCATTTGAGGTGATGCGAAAGAGGGTGGCCCGCTCATTGACGACCTTCAGCTTCTCGCTGCTCTCATAGGGGATTTTGAGGCCGTCCAGCTCGCTCAGGGAGCGCTGGAGTGCAGCGCCGTGCTTCGCAATGAGATCATTGCACGTGCTGAGGTCGTCTAGCTTCAAGGAGAGGCTCTTGATGGCGCAGTGTAGCTCGCTCTTGTCAGCTGGAGAGGCAGTCTCGTCGTCGTCGTCCCCAGAGTCATCTGCAGAAGGAAAAAGAGTTGCCACGGTTATTAACTGACCAACAGAGTGCCAAGAAGCCCACGTGGCCTGGGCCCAGGAGGAAGGAGCAGGTAGAGCGTCTCAAAACAGAGGGCCCTACATGGTGCCAGCTCCTGCTCCTGGTCAGCCCTCCAGGGTGGGCATGGGCCCTCGTGAGTCAGTGGGAGGGATGGAAGGGGGGGACCAGCTTGACAGACCGTGCCTGGCCCGCACTTTGGAGGGGGCAGCCCTGCGGGCACCCGCCTGCATGCGGGGCACCAGCCCCCTAAGCTGTGCCACGCAGGCCAGGGTGGACCGAGCTGGGTGGAGAGCTGGAGACTGCCGCGAGGAGCAGCTCCTGTCGCAGACCAGAGACCCCAGATGAAGGCCGGCTCCTTTCCACGCATCATGGGCCCAGCCTAAGCCAACCCGGACTTTCCTGCCGGCCTCACTCTGCCCTCTGCTCTACGACCACACCCGGCCACGCAGAACTGCCCCTGTTCCCTGCAACACCTGAGTGCTCAGGCCTGGGGCCTTTCCCACGGCGTCCTCACTGCCTGGAACCTCCTCCTACCTCCCCCACCTCCTCAGAGGCCTCACCTCTACCCAGCCCCAGCCCCATGCCCCCGATCTTCAAAGCCTGCCTGAAGACCCCCAGGCCAAAGTCATCCTCCCCGCCCCTGGCCATCCTCCTGCAGGTCCCCACCCACCTCCCCAGCACGAGCAAGGCCGCTCTCATTTGTCCAGACACGGGCTGTGGCATCTCCATGGCCTCGTCAGGGTAGGGACGATACCATGCCCCAGGGACAGACGGGCAGCTAAGGTCACGCCCCAGGCCACCCGGCTAGTCCGTCTGCCTCTGCAGCCGCCCTCTTCATGCCAGGCCGGCTGCTGGGGCCTCTGTGAGCGGGCCAGGCGGGCGCCCCGTCTCCTCCTGGCCCATCCCGCTCACCTCTCACACTGCCGCCCGGGCGCCCTCGGGGTGGCCCTTCCTGGGAGTCCGGGGTGCCTTGGAGCCCAGCCCTCTGCCAGCCCTGCCTGTGTTGAGAGGGTCACAGGGTAGTGGGGACCTCGGGGGGAGGGGGACCACCGCGGGTGGGGTAGGTGGGCAGCCGGCCCGGGCTCTGCTGCTGCTAAAGCACCAGGCTCGCGACCGTAAAACCTGCCACCAGCCCGCGTGCCTGAGCCTGTAAGCGCCAGGGGTTTCTGAGAGGTCTGTTTCAGAAATCATCAGTTTACAAAACATTTTTCTTCTTTTTCTTCTTCTTTTTCTTTCTTTTTTTGTGAAGGAAATCTGTAACCCAAGATACAAGAGTTTTTAAAGAGGCACATGCTGTGAGGGAACAGATTTCTTCCCACGGCAGACAGGGTGCGTGGGGGTGGCCATGGCTGAGTGGCCACTCTGAGCGTGTCCTGAGCTGGTGGCGGCGCCAGGACCGCCGGTGGCGTGGGGCCTGGGTGGGCTGGAGGCTGGGGGTGCAGCCCCCACTGGGGCTGTGGGCCAGCATCCGGGCTCGGGGCAGGGGCTCTCCCTCTTCCCACCACAGCCAGCCCGGTGACGGCTCGGAAACGGCCCGGTGCCCGGGGACTGCACGTGCTGCACCAGCCTCACCGTGGTCCGCAGACCGTGAGAAGTGAGGAAATGTACGTTCTCAGATGGGCGCTGCGGTTACGGGGTCAGAGCTGGATCCGAATCCGGGTCTGTTGAGCATCAGAGCCTGGGCTCTCAGTTATGATGTAATCTCCTGTCACCTTTCCGAGTTCAACACGTGTAACCCCCAGAACGGTCAGCCACCGAGCAGTCAGAACAGGGGCTGCTGTACACCGGGAGGGCCGTGTGGGAACACGCTGGCTGCGGGTCAGCCTGAGTGGGACCCTCCCCCGCCACACACACCGTGCTCTAAGCAAGAAACACAGCTGGCCTAATTGAGCATCTGCCTGTGTGGTGGCCAGAGATGGGTAACCACATTTCTAGTTAACTTGTTAATAAGCAGCTCTTAGGGTCCAAGTTCAGGTCTGGCGGCCAGAGACATGAGGATGTACTTGTTCTGCTCCCAAATCATGGGCTGTGTTGGTGGGGGAGGGATGGGAAGATTCTTGGGTCAGCAGTTACTGACCAGCACAGTGTGTTCTATGGGGATGGGCAGGGAGAGTCTCTCCCAGAGGGTACAGTGAGATCGGGAGAATGAGGGAGGGAGGGAAAGAGGGCAGGTGCAGGGGTGGGGCAAGAGAGAGGGAGGGAGTGGGTGAGTGAAGGAATGAATGAGCAGGAGGCCTGTCCAGGGGTTCTGAGTGGCATGCACAGAGGTGGTGGGTCACACACGGGAGGGCAGCGTCTGGAGAAGGGCATGATCAGTAGGAGGGAGGAGCTACTTGGAGAGGGGGGTGGGAAAGGGCCTCTGGCTCAGCTGAGAAGCCTGGGCCTTTATCCCTTGGCAAGAAGGAGAGTGTGGGCACCTGAGCAGAGATCCATGGGAAAGATGAGACTGGTGGCAAGTGGCAGGATGAGCAGACTGAAAGGACAGAGAGGCCAGAGTAGCTGGGGGGAGGCCAGGGGCTGGAGAGAACAGGACCTCTGAACCTAGCCCAAAAGTGCTGATGGCAGCACCCACCCAGCTCCAAGGCCATGACCGTCTAGTGACAGCCACGCTCCCAGGCAGTCCCGTCCCTGGTCAGTCCTCGAGGACGGGGCCTAGCTGCCATGTGGCCTGCCATGTGGCCTAGCTGCTCACTTCCCCACAGTGTCATGGGCTGTTCAGACTCATACTGAGCGCAGCGCCGTGAACCCCCCCACTCAGGCCTGGGCGGAAGCCGAGCTGAGCCATGAAGGGGACTCTGCCTCTGCCATGATGAACTCTGACCATCCTGAATCTCCAGGTCTCAGTTTGAGGTCAGGGGTCCTTGCAAGGAGCAGACTCACATTAGAGAGAGAGATGAAACTCATTATCAGAGACGTAAATAAAACTACTTGCTGTGATACTACTCCGACTAGAAAAAAGAATGGATGGCATCGAATTAGCTTCAGCTTTCTGAAGGATAAACCAGCAGCTACCCCTCAAGAGGCACAGAAATGGCTCTTCAGCTTCCATGGCCCGCTTCTTCCTTTGACGGGAGAACTCCACTGGTGGGGAATTTGGTTCAAAGGAAGGCAAACACTTGTATGCATCAAGTTGTTCAGGCCTGTGGCTCTCAAGCTCATGGCCTTGGGGGTTCTCAAGCTTTTATGACCCCGCCTGTCCCCTCTGTTCAGTCCACATCTCCATAACACAGCAAACACTAACCTATCCACAAATGTAAAATCCTATAGAGATTCTGCAACTCTATTAATACAAGAAGAGCAGCAACTGAAATCCAGGGCCAGGTCAAAGCCACGCTCCTGGGCCACAGAGGAGCCCCCTGCCTTCCCCCAAACCCATGTGAAGGCCACGACTTAGTACGATGAGCAGCTCTTGGGGGAGGGGGCTGCCAGGGTGTCCTGGGGTGGCATAAAAATAAGGTGGTCAGAAAGAACTGGCTTGAATGCCTGAGTTCCCAGTTCACCTTGAGCTCTGCTGCTTTGTGGGGCTGTCTTCCTACTCTGGGCCTTGGAATCCTCATGTGTACAGCAAGAACAGCAACATCCACCTCACGGAGCTGGGAAGCACCTGGGTGTCAGGTGGGCCACATCAGGTGGGATCATCCCCAGCAGCCATCGCTGCCACACTGAAGGATCTCTGAGCATCTGGCCTGGGAAACAAGATCTAACACTGGGAGAAGCATACCCTGGTTTTCAGGGGCTGGCTGAACTCAATGCCTCTCCATTACCTCCTAGAAAATGCTGGTCCTTTAAAGAAAGGAAGTCTACCTGAGCACTGGGAGGGTGCAATGTTTCATCAGCCAGGACCCAGTGCAGACCCGGGCTTGGCCCCAGCCAAGTTTCAGGGGAGACTGGGAAGGAGCCAATGGACCCCTAGCAGGTGGCGTCTCTGCATAAGGCCCAGGGGTTAAGACAGGAGTGAGGGGTGGGGAGGGGTAGGAAAGCGGCATTGTTGACGTGCTCAGAGCCCTAATGTCCCCTTAGTCTCCGCTGCCTGTCTGCCAGGGCGGCTGTGGAGAGCATCAGACAATGTCCTACTTCTCTGGACTCCTCCTTCTTAGCTGCTGCTTTGTCTCTGTTCAGAACAACTGGTAGAGCTCTGGGGGAGGCATCGTTGGCCCTCAGATAAAGGACAAGTGTCTAACCATGAGGATGCTCCCCGTCCTCACTGTCTCCTGCTCTGCTCACTTCTCCCATTTTCTTCAGCTGCGGTCAGCTGATACAAGGGTAGCAGGAGTGTTCTGGAAGCCTCTTGGACTGTCAGGTGACCCCACTCGTGGACTGGCCAGGCTGAACCCAAGAGGGTTCAGAGCACGGGCGACTTTAGGTCATGCCCATTGCATCCAGGCCCATGCCTTTGCTTTCAGATGGGAAAACTGAGGCCCAGACGGAGGAGAGGGGCTTGGTCAAGGTCAGACGCCGACCTTGGCAGCAGTGGCAGCTATGATGCCCCCGCTCTGTCAGATATGGCCCAGATCTTGGGCGGGCTCTTTCCAAATGGCTAAGATGCATTTGCTGAGGGGTCAGAGCCTGGGACCCAGGGCAGATGACCCAGATACCTTTCCCAGGAGGGGAGGACGTGGGGGGGGCGCGGCTTTATGCCCCTGCTATCAGAGTCTCCTCCCCAGGCGGTGGGAGGCCGGCCTCTGATCACACGCCACGACCAGCTGCTGCTGTCAGGAGCCCACAGCGCTGGGCGGCCCTCAGGTCTGCAGGGCTGAGTGCTGGGGCTCACCTTCTCTCTCGGCACAGCCCGGGGGTGGGGGCAGGCAGGAGAGGACAGGGGACCGCCTTTACCGGGCAGTGGGTGTGAGCAAAGCATCACTGAAAGCGCCCCAAAGTGCACACGGCTCCTGTCCTTTGCTCGGTGAGGATCTTCCTGCCCCTCCTTCCTGCCAAATCTCGGTCCCTTCACCGGGGTGCATC